ACAGTTCTGTGCCTGTATTGAGATACGCGGGTGAAAACCCGGTAGTATCTTGCTTCGCCGTGTTGAACGCAAACTTTATTTCATGTAGATTTGCGTCCCACTGACGGTGATTTTCTCCCACATATTGTGCGATCATGGTTTTCACCGTGCGGTTTGCCCTCTCTACGGGGTTACACTGCGGTGTCCAAACCGGTGTAAGCCGCTGTGTGATTCCCAATTCTTGTACCAGTTTCCTCATGCTGCCGGATTTAAATTGTGTGCCATTGTCTGAGACTAGTATCTTCGGGACTCCGTGACGGTACACTATTTCTTCCAATACTGCCTGTGCCACTGCCGTTGCTGTAGCCTTCCTCAGCGGCTTGACCTCTAACCACTTTGTAAAACGGTCTTGCATTGTTAACACCCATGTGTGTCCCTTACTCGATCGCGGTAGTGGTCCGATTAGGTCCATCGAGACTTGTTCCCACGGATGTTGAACATTCGTCGCATGCATCATCCCTGCCGGTTGCCGTTGTGCTGCCTTATGTGCCTTGCAGTTTTCACACTTCCGCACGTACTTATTTATTTCCTTAAGCATTCCCGGCCAATAGTATAATCTTGAGATGCGACATATTGTCTTTGCGATGCCTAAATGTCCTGCTGTTGGGTCATCGTGATATGCCCTCAGTATTTCAGCTCTCTGCTCGTGAGGAATGCATTCCTTCCACTGCTCACTATCCGGTGTTTCTTTGAAATCGAGACTATGTAGGATGTGGCGATACAACTTGCCATTCCTAATTTCATAATCTGGCGATTTCTGCGGTTGTTCCCTTGTCTCGTTATATACGCGAAGATACCATGGGCACTGTATTTCCCTGTTTATACTTGCCATTTCTGGTCGTCTAGAGAGTGCATCGGCTACTTTATTCGAGCTCCCTTTTCTATATTTGATCTCAAAGCTATATTGCTGGAGCTCAAACTTCCATCTTCCAACGCGTCCTATTGGCGATTCTAGTTTTTGTAGCCATTTTAATGACTGATGGTCGGTTAATACTGTGAAATCGTATCCCTCTAAGTAACAACGCATCTTCCGTATTCCCCACACTACCGCGAGACATTCAAGCTCCGTCGCGCTATAGTTTTTCTCACTGTTGTTCAGTGAGCGGCTAGCGTATGCTATGACTCTCTCTCCGTTCGCGAAATTCTGCGTTAGGACTGCTCCGAGCCCATGCTTGCTCGCGTCCGTCTGTAGTGTGAACTTCAAATCAAAATTTGGACAGGCGAGAACTGGTGCTGAAACTAATGTTTCCTTTAATCGCCGAAATGCGTTTTCCTCTTCCGGTCCCCAGTGCCATTTGACATTTTTCTTTGTCAAATTTGTTAGTGGGGCAGCTATTTTTGAGAAACCTTCGATGAATCTCCTGTACCACGAGGCCATTCCTAGAAATTGTCGGATATGCTTAACTTTTGTTGGCGTTGGCCACTTGCTTACTGCATCCGTTTTTTCTGGATCTGTTCTGATTCCGGCTTTATCTACTATATGCCCCAGGTATTTCAAGCTTGTACGACAAAAGTGGCACTTCTCAGCATTTAATCGGAGTTTTGCTTCCCTAAGCCGTGTAAAAACTTCTTTCAGCACACTTAAATGTTGCTCAAAAGTTTTCGTTGCTATTATAATATCATCAAGATATACTTGCACATTTTCTTCTAGCTCCGGTCCTATAACGGTGTCTAGGAGTCTTTGAAAAGTTGCTGGTGCTGAATGCAATCCAAATGGCATCACTCTAAATTGCTTCAGCCCCCGGCCAGGTACTGTAAAGGCGGTGATCGGTCGGCTCTCGGCCGTTAATGGCACCTGCCAGTACCCACTTTTTAAATCCAGCGTTGTTAAGTACGTCGCTCCTCGGAGTTTGTCTAACGTTGCTGTTATCTGCGGTAGAGGATATGCATCTCGTTCTGTTACTTCATTGACCTTTCTATAGTCTACACAGAATCGGTGCTTACCATCTTTTTTCTTGACCATGACGATCGGTGAGCTCCATGCGCTTCGTGAACTTTCTATCACTCCATTTTCTTCCATTTCTGCCACTTCTCGATCTATTATTTCCTGCATTGCCGGATTCCTTGGTCGATATCTTTGTTTAATCGGTTTGGTACCTCTTTTGATTTTTATGCTGTGCCGTGCCATGTCCGTCGGTCCTTTGACACTCTCGAACTTCCGAAATTCTTCTTTTAAGAATTTCTTTAACCGTGCCTCTTCTTCTTTAGTTCGTGGTTCCATTCCTTCTGAGATGGTGCACGTCATTGTGTTGCATCGTAATTGTGGCTTTTTATTCGGCGACGGAATTGGTATTTCCATTTTCGCCCATAAGTCTACGCCGATCAACGCTGCCATTTCCAGTGTTGGTAGTATATGGAACCGATGTTCGTAATGTTTTCCATTTATTTTTACCGGTAGGTAAATACTTCCCATCAATTGCGTACTTTTCCCATCTGCTAACTGAACTCTTTGTGTACCTGCCTGGTTTACTTGATAATCGACTTTTCCCGATATCCTTTCTGCTGTTTCCCGATTGATGCAGGATATTTCGGATCCTGTATCCAGTAGTGCCTCGAATTCTTCCTCACATATCTCTATGTTTATCTGCGGTGTTGGTGTGTACTTAATTTTCGGTGCTTTTACGACCGAGGTTCGCCTTTCTCCCCGGTCCGGTCTTAGTTTCCCGGTCTTGGATGGCAATTTCTGGTCAGCACGCCGTCCTTACCGCATTGTGAACAGAATTTTTTCTGTTCATTACGGCACAACCTTCTCGTATGACCTCTCTGCTTGCACCGCCAGCAACACTCTGATGCCTTGTATAGTGCGGCTGCCATCGGCATTCGAGGTGTCGATTTTGTATCTCTGCGAAACGCTATTCGCTGCCGTTCAATATCTTCTATTTCGGCCGCCCTTGCTTCCAGTTCCCTAAGCGTATGTACGTTTTCTCTTCGGATATGCATTTTTAAATCCGGCGACATGTTCTCGTAAATCTGATCAATATGATCACGGCGTGAGAATCCTCCTGCTCGCCTCATTAATGTGGCTAGATCAGTGGCGTATTGCCGAAAAATTTCATTCGGTTCTTGCTTTCTTCTTTGAATTTCTTGTTTCATTTGGAATTCA